AAGAGAGCAAATTGTTGGTGCCCGCTGAGCTAGTGCCTATGTGATTGAGGTTGCCAATTTATTTGCCATGTCACAAGGTACAGTATCAAATGTTATGACGGCATATACAGTTTCCGGGAAAACATCATCTGAAAAGCACAAGTGCGGTCCACATGGTTAACTGACCAAAAGAAACAAAAAAAAAAAAAAACATTGCGCAGAACTTTGACCCAGATTGTGACCCGGAATAAGAAAACAACTGATGCAAAAGTGAATTCAGAGTTCAATCTCCTGTGAAGGCTGAGATTAAGCTCTGCAGTCACTTTTGCAGCAGTTGTTTTAATCCTTTTGCTTCATTTGGTCAGTTGACCATGTCAACCGCACTTATCAGACGATGTTTTCCCGGAAATTGTATATGCTGTCATCACCTTTAATGCTGTACCTTGCAACAAGGCAAATAAATTGACAACTCCAGTGACAGAGGCACCAGCTAAGCGGGCAGCAACAATTTGCCCCTTTTGAAGCTCAGTAAGCTCTGACATGACTCCATATTACTAGCAGTGCACGCAGTGAATGACGAAAGAGAGACTTCCCTCCCTGTTAGCTAGGTGTCCCATCACACAACAGAAGCAAAAGAATGTTACCTCACTGCTACTTTCAATGTCACTTTCACACCCGCAAATCATATAGTATTTCCATTTTTTTGGTCTAACCCCTGTAGACATACATATGGAAGATTTAGAGAAGTGACCCATAATGTGAAAATCCATAATGTTCCAAGAATCTTGTGTAAAAAGACACAATTTGTAAACAATTTGTAACAAAACAAAAAAAAAATTGTTCATATAAATGGTTAAAAATACAGTCAGGTCCATAAATATTGGGACATCGACACAATTCTAACATTTTTGGCTCTATACACCACCACAATGGATTTGAAATGAAACAAACAAGATGTGCTTTAACTGCAGACTGTCAGCTTTAATTTGAGGGTATTTACATCCAAATCAGGTGAACAGTATAGGAATTACAACAGTTTGCATATGTGCCTCCTACTTGTTAAGGGACCAAAAGTAATGGGACAGAACAAAAACCATAAATCAAACTTTTACTTTTTAATTCTTGGTTGCAAATCTTTGCAGTCGATTACAGCCTGAAGTCTGGAAGGCATAGACATCACCAGACGCTGGGTTTCATCCCTGGTGATGCTCTGCCAGGCCTCTACTGCAACTGTCTTCAGTTCCTGCTTGTTCTTGGGGCATTTTCCCTTCAGTTTTGTCTTCAGCAAGTGAAATGCATGCTCAATCGGATTCAGGTCAGGTGATTGACTTGGCCATTGCATAACATTCCACTTCTTTCCCTTAAAAAACTCTTTGGTTGCTTTTGCAGTATGCTTTGGGTCATTGTCCATCTGCACTGTGAAGCGTCCAATGAGTTCTGAAGCATGTGGCTGAATATGAGCAGATAATATTGCCCGAAACACTTCAGAATTCATCCTGCTGCTTTTGTCAGCAGTCACATCATCAATAAATACAAGAGAACCAGTTCCATTGGCAGCCATACATGCCCACGCCATGACACTACCACCACCATGCTTCACTGATGAGGTGGTATGCTTAGGATCATGAGCAGTTCCTTTCCTTCTCCATACTCTCTCTTCCCATCACTCTGGTACAAGTTGATCTCGGTCTCATCTGTCCATAGGATGTTGTTCCAGAACTGTGAAGGCTTTTTTAGATGTTGTTTGGCAAACTCTAATCTGGCCTTCCTGTTTTTGAGGCTCACCAATGGTTTACATCTTGTGGTGAACCCTCTGTATTCACTCTGGTGAAGTCTTCTCTTGATTGTTGACTTTGGACACACATACACCTACCTCCTGGAGAGTGTTCTTGATCTGGCCAACTGTTGTGAAGGGTGTTTGCTTCACCAGGGAAAGAATTCTTTGGTAATCCACCACAGTTGTTTTCCGTGGTCTTCCGGGTCTTTTGGTGTTGCTGAGCTCACCAGTGCGTTCCTTCTTTTTAAGAATGTTCCAAACAGTTGTTTTGGCCACGCCTAATGTTTTTGCTATCTCTCTGATGGGTTTGTTTTGTTTTTTTCAGCCTAATGATGGCTTGCTTCACTGATAGTGACAGCTCTTTGGATCTCATCTTGAGAGTTGACAGCAACAAATGCAAATAGCACACTTAAAATTAACTCTGGACCTTTTATCTGCTCATTGTAATTGGGATAATGAGGGAATAACACACACCTGGCCATGGAACAGCTGAGAAGCCAATTGTCCCATTACTTTTGGTCCCTTATCAAGTGGGAGGCACATATGCAAACTGTTGTAATTCCTACACCGTTCACCTGATTTGGATGTAAATACCCTCAAATTAAAGCTGACAATCTGTAGTTAAAGCACATCTTGTTCGTTTCATTTCAAATCCATTGTGGGTGGTATATAGAGCCAAAAATGTTAGAATTGTGTCGATGTCCCAATATTTATGGACCTGACTGTATATATATAAAAAACAGTTTAAAACCTTTAAATAAATCCATCTTTCTGAACATTCTACACCAGTATTTACAGTATAACATGTTCAGCATCCCTCGCCCCCTCCGTGAATGTCTCCCCGCACAGCTGCGTCATTCATTCAGATTTCTGTGAAAGAATAGACTATAGGTACCGTCAGCCACTGCGGCTGACTGCTTGTAGTTCTCAGTGAGCTCTGAGGGCACTAGTTCATTGATCTTCCTGCTCTGAAGAACTGTCTGTACAGGCAGACAGCTACCTTGAATGTCTGCAGGAGCCTGACATTGCACTGCATCCACTATCTGCTGATCACGGGTGCAAAGCTCTGCAGGCCTCTTAGACATATAAAAAAAATAATAAATGCACATTTTTCTACCAGCAAAAAATAGTGCATTTATTTATTTTTTCTAAAAGGTGAAGAACCTAGCCTTTATAACTTGAAAAAACTATAAATTCAATGCATCCCTGAGAAATGGTTTGGAGCATGTTTTAAACGGGCTCTTTTTGACTTCTGAGTATTGGAGAAGGGAATTCAAATATAAACTGGGACTAAAGCCAAAATTTGACTTGTATTTGCTGCTGACATAAAGAAATCAGACTGCGGGAGGCAGATTCTCCAGGCCAACAACTTCTGCTTCTTCTGACCATAAATTCAATATCTCTCCTTCATAGAGAAGCCGCTCAGAGGCACAACTACAGATCCTGGGTCCCACAGCAAAATTTTTATGGGGCCCACATCAAGGGCAGGTAGCAAGAGAGAGCAGTGCTGTGAATAAAAGTTGTCAGGGAGGAGTGGGGCATTGTAAACTGTAAGTCCTCCCACCCCTTCAATTGACACAGCAAGCAAGTGCTGAAAAGATAGAATTGTAATCATTAAAAGAAAAAATATAACAAAGAGTTGTGGTAGCAATAATGACGACCACAACAATATTTTATATTATACCAATTGTCAGCACTTCTGGACACAATTCTCTATAAATCTAAACAAATTTTTTTTAGCCTGGATTCACACTGAACATACGTGAGGCTGGAGAAGGAGAAAAAGCTGCACATGAAAGGTTTTTTACTTTAAAGCAGAGTTCCACTCACTCCGTAAAAAAATAAAAAAGTCAGCAGCTACAAAAATTCTAGCTGCTGACGTTTAAAAAACAGCCACTCACCTGTCCCACAATCCCGCAGTGCCCCCGCCGTAGCCCATTTCACTGGCCGTCCTGTATTCCAGGAGCAGGCATCTTCAGTGTGGGCACCCGGCTGTGACAGCTTGCGGCTTTCACAGCCAGGTGCCCACTGCGCATGCGCTTCCTGAATGGCCCCGTCGTCTTCTGGGACCTGTCACGTGTCCAACAAGACTTGGGGGGGGAGGGTAGGAGGACAACTTCTGCTTCCGATTGCCTAGGTGATCGCAGCGGAAGTGGGAGTGTGTACCTGTCAAATTTCGGGTACCCACTTAATGGGGAGCGGGGGACCAATTTTTAAAGCGGAACTTCCACTTTGGGTGGAACTCCACTATAATGCAGAGAATGCATTAAAGTAAAAAAAACCTTCACAACCACTTTAAACTTTTATTTTGCAGAACTATAAACAGCTGCCAGTTTTTAGCTGAGGAGACACTTAAGGATTTTACAGCTTGAGGAATTCTGTGTTAGGTATGCAGCAGCAATTTCACTTCTAGCCAGGAAGACCAGAAGCTTTGAGGGCAGTAAATCTACACCACTAAGACAGGCAAACAAATTCCCCTTACTGCACAGCCTGCAAAGGAAATCTGTGACTAGTCACAACTATTCTGTATGTCTGACATAAGCTCTTCTTGATCGGAAATGTCACAGGGAGTAGAGGGTCAGTTTCATTAGCATCTGCTGCAATCTTTAATACTACAGTAATGGATATGTGATCTTCCCATGCACACAGATTTTCTATGCTTAAATTGGCCTAATAGCCCCAGCACCTTTCACCCCATGCCCCATAGAACCTGTGTGGGCTGCTATGGCTAATCGGAAGTTAAATAGTGAAAGTATCATGAGCGCACCAGACAGCCCAACCTGTACTTCAGGAAATAAGAAAATAATTAAAAGGTCCACTTTAGGTTGTATTCCTATACAAAGTCTGTCTTGTAAATTGTAATTTTTTGCTTGAAAAAGATAAACCATGCCCCCATATCAAGGCATTTAAATCATTAACAGCGAACTAAGAATACAGTTTTATTCATACAGTCGTGTAAGGCATTTACTTACTTTCATTTTAAATTATCTTTAGTTTTGTACAGACAGCAAGAAGGGTGCTAAAACATATTTAAATCATATGACCCTGCATTTTTGTACACCCAAATTCAGGTCATGAGCTACAGCTCATGCATTGCATGATCTTTACAAATCTAGCATACAGTGCATAAAAAATAACAGCATAAATAAAGCTAAATATACAGAAAACGAAATTGACTATGAAAATGCAGTTATGGGAACATTATCTGACTTGTTTGCAGAACAGATGTTTAAAAACAACTCACCCAAATCATCCTTGTCAAGCTTGATTTCTTGCATTATAGATGGCATGACAAAAGAGAATGTCTTTCGATTAAAATAGTACAACGTATATCCCATAAACATGGCACTAAAGATGATTGTCCTGTAGTAGCCATATCCCTGTCCCTGCTGCCCCATTGTGTCCACGTGGAGATCTGTAACTTAGTTCCAGTAATTCATTTAAAAAGGGTAAAAGCTCTTCTCCTGGTACTCAGCCTATAGATGTAGATAGCAGTACAGCTCACATATAGCAAACAGATTTCCCAGTCAGAACATAGAGCACATAACACGCCTGATGAGCTGCGGAGAGAAAGTCCGAGGAGGGGAGAGGATTCTGCCAATCTCTTCTAGGTTTTCTGCTGAGTAGTGCGTTTGCTCCCTGTTTTCTATGAGGCTGGCAACAAAAATACTTCAGGGAGAATGATTAACCTAGGAGGTGTCACGCATGTACATTACCCTGCAGGGACAGAAGAAAGAAGAGGACAGCAAAGGAATTTAATATTCCAGCTAACAAATATTTGTAACAATTGTTTACCTCTAATGTATGTCACAATGAAACACAAGGGCAAAGAGCAACCATAGATACAGCTATCACAAACTGTAAATGGACATGTGAAAAGCAAGCTAATGATAAAGAAAACAATCACCTTTTAGAGGCAAGCATTAAAGTGTATCTGTAATCAAACCATCCTGTTAGATTAGATAAACCCATCATTCCTCCCTAGGGAGATACACACTCTCTGTTTGTCACCAGGGATGGAGGTGAGGAAAAAAGCCAAAAATTCCAGTTGTACTGGAAAGGCTGTATTTTTCTATAGGAAGTGACAAGTGGTGGTGCATGCATACTGTATGTACACAAATTCAAACGCCTACATGCTTACATGACATACAGAGAAAGTCAGTGTTCACGGCAGTACATACGGCCCTGTCCTCATGTAGTTGCTCAGAGTCACATGTTTGCATACATACGTGTACAGCCAACGCCTGCCATTGATTTGTACAAGCTGATTGATGGAAGCTGTACCTACACCTGTCACTCCCGGCAGAAAGATACAACCATATTGTATGCTACTGTTTTTTGTAGGGCAGATCCTGCTCCTGTTTCCCCACCCCCAACCCTAGATAAATACTGATTACAACCCTTATGATAACTTACCTCAAGCAAAGTCTTATCAGTTAGACTGCACTGGGCAGTGCAGTATTTGGAGCCTATTGGACTGCTTTTCGTGCTTTTTTTCTGGCATTTTATTGTGCGACTAAGTGCAACATCCAGCCCTACTGTCTGTGTTGCAATCATTCCTGAATGAATAAGGCCCTACCACTCAATACTGCAATCAACCCGCCCAGTCACAGCCTGACATATACTCTGATTGCAGGCAATGGGGTTGAACACTGCACCTGTGCCTCTAGGGTGCAATAAAACACCAGGAATACATAGAAAGCAGCTAGATACCACCCCCCCCCCCTCCAGAATATCTGTTTCTGTGACTTCAATCAGCCTTGAATATTCAACCTAACCATGAAATCTTCTTGAGTAAATGGAAACTTACACTTTATCTCTGCTCTAGCAAATGAAAAGGATTCAGGGAACTAAAGGTGGCCATAGACGAACCAGCTGAATTTCAATCCATATGTAACAACTGACATCTGTTGAACAGACCTGTTGGAATAAAGCTGCTTGATCAGCAGCTGCAGCACTGATCCGTGTATTATGACAACGGAGAAGTCCCCCCACTATTAAAATACAATAGCGTAGTGGGGAGGATTCCTGCATCCACCTCAATCGTGTGGATGGGGGAATTGGTTCAATTGTTTTCTAAAAAAAGATTGAGCCATGTATGGCCAGTAGTAATTACAGCCAGCCATAAATCCAGCAAGCCATAAATCCAATACCTGGCAGTGGAGAATCCTCTGGCTGCTGTTAGCATAGTTGCAGGAATCAGTTGATTATCTCTCATTTGGCCTGCAGCCTGAACAAGAGACAATCAAGCATGGCTAGCTTAAGATGAGTAGGGAAAGAGAAGTCCAACTGGGACTAGGACAAGGGCTGGGAGGGTGACTTTTAAAAAGATAAATAAGGGCTCATGTACACTGCAGCTGCTAAACTGATGTTCAGGAGCTGTTCAGCGTTTATTTCAGCAGCCCCTGAACTCCCCCTAATGTTTTCCTATGTGTCCATGTACACATAGTCATTTACAGTCGTTTTTTTTTTAGAACGCACCAAACTTGCGTTCAGGAGTAGATTTTACTGGCCTTTCAAACGCCAAATGCTTGTAAACGTGCGTTTACGTTTAAAAGCATTTTTTTAACTGTTCCATATCCAGATGCTGTCCAGAGCCTTTTTTCATCATCAGAAATGCATGCAAATTGTTTTCCATGTATTCAAATGGACCCGGTACACCAGCGCAGTCAGTTCCAGGTTTCACCTGAAGGACAAAATGGTACAACGTGCTGCATTATGCTCATGATGGGATCCATAGTGAATACAACCAGAAAAGACAGGTCATCTCAACACATACTGCTCTCCCTGCTTCTGCTCTATTCCTCTCAAAATGTCTGAAATAGTTATTTACTATTTTTCAGTTCATTCTGGGCATTTGGGAAGGTCTCCTGAGGTTACCTTTTAAAAATGCTTAAAAACATAAATGCTCATAAACGCGGTATGCAAACGCGGCTAAACTGACATTTTTTTTAACCTACGTTTTCTAGCAGTCAGTTTCCATCGTTCAGAAGGTTTACCAAATGCCCTGTGTACATGAGCCCTAAAAGTTAAATTAAAACTTAATCATGCCTATTTTTTGTAGGAGTTTGTCGAATGTTACTGCTGTCTGGGTTGGTGGTGGCTGTATACTTGTTTTTTTCCTTAGAATGTCCTTTCATGGATCTGACAGCCATGTCTCCCTGTGCAGTTGTTATTATTATTATACAGGGTTTATATAGCGCCAACAGTTTGTGCAGCGCTTTACAATATAAGGGAGACAGTAAATTACAATACATTTCAGTACAGAAGGAATGTGATGTTTTGTACCAGACTTTTCCTTTTGTGCACAGCTGTGTCTGTGACCCTTTGTCTAAAATTATTGATCAACCTGTTGAAAGTGGAATTGGTTCAAAGTTTAGAGATCCAGAGAAAACTCAAAAGGGACAAATTCCACAAAATGTTTTTGGAACAGATTACACTTTGTGCTACAAAGCTGAGAACAAAACAAAATTTGCATAGGTAGTAACTGTGTGCAAGGCCACATGGACAGGTCAAACGAGATCCACAGCTCACCAGAACAGTCTAAAGACAACACATTGTTGAACGAGTTGTTTTTCATTTACGAGATTAAAAAAAAAAACACTCCTTTACAACTAACAAAGGCCTAGTATGTAAATGTAGTATGCCTTGCGGCATTGCTGATTCAGTGGTTTCAATATTTTCTGAGGAACCAACCTTCAATTATGTAGTCTGAGAAATGAGATTAAATGAAAATGATTCTGTATGTTTGTTTCAAAGGAATAAAGAGTATTTTTGTTCATCAGCAGAAAAACATTTAATCCAGTGATTCAAAAGTTATATGACAATGGACTCCATTCACAAAGTGGTATTTTTAGTTTCAGAGAAGAGTAGAGGAAACTGTTTTGTTATTCCCGGATTGGGTTCTGAAGTTTGGAGACTTCAAATAGTTTTTGGAAGGGAGAAGTCTCCAACCCAATGCCTAAGTCTTGCAAGAGACCGATAGGCTGTGAGTGCAGATGTGCACAGTCCTTATAATGAAGAACGGAGACGACTAGGGGAGTCCAAGGGACTGAGGGAATCTGGAGGTCTCAGAAAAGTGAGAGAGCCTGGACCGTCAGGAGATCCCCTATGGGGAAGGCCAGGACGTGTGCTGGTGCAACAGGGTGTGGCCAGTGAAAAGGCTAAGGGGACCTGGAGAACTCAAAAGGCTGAGACAGCCAGGAGAGCTGGGAAAGCTGAATGAACACAGATGTACTGTGTAAGATGGTCTGAGGGAGCAGCTAAAAGACAAGGTTTCAGGCCTAAGTAGCAGCATTGCTGAAGACAGAGCCATGTGGCTTATTTTGTTGTTTTCTGTTGGGTTTTTTTTATGGTGGAAACCTCTGGGTGGGCAACTGATTTTCTGTTGAACTTTAATTGTGTTTAATAAAAGTGGCTGGCTAGCCCTAGACCACAGTTCAGACTGGCCTGAACTCACTAAAAATGTTTTTACCAATGTGCTAATTATCCCAAATATCATAGTTTAGGTACACTCTGATTGTGTACTGCACTTGGACTAAGTTGCCCAGAACCTTGCTGCCTGCTGTTCGTGAACGTTATATCAGGGTATCCGATTGTATGAGTGTAATTCAGTATGAGCTAGAATATAATGCAGCACTTGAATGGTGGGGACTAAATATAAAACATGCTGAGCTTTTCGGCTCTGGGGGCTGACAGCCTTTCACAAATAGCATCAGTGCAAATGTGACCAGGCTGGCTGAAAATTAACCCTCTCATGTCACCAAAGTACTCATGGAATTATAATGTGCAGCTATGATAAGGCATACAGTACATAATACTTATGTCTTAGTGCACAACATGATTTAAGAATATATTGAATATTAAACCAGAATGTCTATTTTTTACAAACATACATGTTAACAAGACATTACCAGCCCTATTTTAGAATTACAGTATGTGATGTCCAGACTTACATTATACGGTCCTGCATGTTTGAAAGCTTTCCTTTGCTGCAGTTTTACCTGGTACCCTGATCATTAGCCCCACCTTCTAATACAAGACTGGATCCTTAGCTTGAGTACTAAGGAGCCCTGCTGTAGCCACCCATTTGAGCTGACATAAGTTTGCTGCCTGAGGCACAGGCAGCCCAAGAGCTTTAACCAATTCCGGACCAGCGACATACCCACACATCACTGGGCTTTCAGTGATTGTATCAGAAAGAATACCGGTACCCCAGTACAGTTTTTTTTTTTAGAGCCAGCAGTTGGCTTTCTTGCAGAAGCAATTGGAGCAGCTACTAGCTGATTGCTTGTACAAACAGCAGGAGGGGACATCCACCGCCTCCCACCACTCTTTCATGATCTCCTTTCCCACCAGGAATACCGAGCAACCAGCCAGCATTGTTGCCGGCTGGCCG